TGTGGCCCAAGTGCAGGACCTGGCACTTGCCCTTGTTGAAACTCATTCCATTGGCATTGGCCCAGTGAGCCAATCTATCTAGATCCTCTTCCCTTTCCTCCTGGGAGTCAACACTCCTGCTTAACTTGGTGTCATCTGCAAACTTGCTGATGTTACACCTTATGTCCTTATCGAGATCATCAATAAAGACGTTAAACAGAAATGGTCCCAACACTGAGCCTTGAGGCACACCACTTGTGACCGGCCACCAGCTGGACGTAAATCCATTGAGCACAACTCTTTGGGACCTTCCAGTCAGCCAGTGCTTGATCCAGCAGATCGTGTGCTCATCCACTCCGTGCGAAGCCAGTTTTTCCACTAGATTTGTGTGAGGGACCGTATCAAATGCTTTTTGGAAGTCCAGGTACACTATATCGACAGCCTTTCCCTCGTCCAATAATCTGGTTATGTCAGTCTCTCCCCCCCAGTCACAACCAAGAGGGTGGGACAGACTCTGTGACCCCGCAGGGCCTGGCTGTCCTCCTCCACGGCAGGATCGGCCGGGCAGCACAGGTTGCCAGGCTGCTGAGGGCTCTCACCTGGCTGCAAGGGAAGGTCCTTCCATGTCCATGGCCTTGCAGCAGCTCCCTGCTTTGTAGGACAGTGCTCTGCCCATCCTAAGAGCTGCTTAGGTTCAGGCTGGATATTAGGAAAAATTTTTTCACTGAAAGGGTTCTCAGCCCTTGGAATGGGCTGCCCAGGGAGGTGGTTGAGGCCCCATCCCTGGAGGTGTTCAAAAGACGGGTTGATGTAGTGCTGGGAGGTATGGTTTAGTGATGATGCTCCTTGTTTGTTGTGTGGGTGTCTATTTTTGTCAGTCAGGTTGATGGTTGGACAAGATGATCTTTAAGGTCCCTTCCAACCTAGAAGATTCTGTGATTCTGCTGCAAAACCCCAGCCAGGGCTCACACTTCCATCCCTGGATGCTGTTCCGGGCTGCGTGTCTCCCTGGCTGTGAGGCCACAGCAGCACGACACCACCAGGTCTTACTCTTACAACGGCACAAACCTCACGTGTTCTTCTCAACATCTGGATGGCTTCGGATCTGCTAAGAATCCTTTCAGCCTTTGCCCAAACATGAGCCACGCAAAAAGTGGCCAAATACCATTCCTAAGGACAGGTATCTGGGTGTTTCTCCCACTCCCAGCGCACAGACATCCAAATCAGAAACTCAGATCCTCATCAGAAAGGGTCTCGCTGCCATCAGGCCTCCTGACAAACACAGCCCAGGCGAGCAGCAGAGACCTGCCTCAGTTCTTTCTGCAGGAGAGCAGAGCAACAACGACACCAAGTAATAATGTCTGCAGGGGCTCAGCCTGTCTGTGGCACTTCCACACCTTCCCCCAGAAGACCCAGTTTGGGTGTAACACAGCGCAGCACCATCGCACCCGGCTCAAAACACGGGATAAACCACCACCCAGAGCACCATAAGGGTCCACTGCTGTATCACAGCCCCCACGGTCTCACCAGCACAACTCTGAGACCCCAAACAAAAATAAGACCATGACCTACCCTCCCATCTCTGACTGAGGGGTAGTTTTGGTGATGACGATGGTTTTGCCCAGCTTCGATTCCAGGTCCACTTTGTAGTCCCGGTGCCGCAGAAGTTCCCTTTTGACAGGCTGAGCTGGTTTGCCTAAAATATATGCAAAAAACCAAACTGTTTATCAGAAAAGGTCAAGACATGCTGGATTTCACATTGCCCTTGGTGAAGAGGGGCCTGTCGGGAACCTGGGAACTACCCGATTCAGGCAGAAATTGCACCTTTTTTTTTTTTTTTTTAATAATCAGTAAAGAATATCTTTCCCTCCTCACTATTTCCTGGTTCCTGACAGAACCAGGTAGATCTGTGAGGCATCTCCAGCTCTGGTGTGGGTCATGCTCTTGAGATCTCCTTGTTTCCAGGGGCTGATTGTTTCTCTCCCTCCCCAAAGAACGGGCAGAGAGAGGCAAAAGTGCTCAGTAATTACTTTTGTCAAAAAATGTATTCAGAGGCAAGCACAGCAAAAAGGATGGGTGCATGCCAGCCTTCAACTGCTGCTATTTCCCTTTGGGATTTCACCTCTGGCTGCTCTCTCCCTCTCAAACTCTGAGTGTTTGGGTGACTCGCTGCCAAAGGAGCAAAGCTCTCCTGCAGTCAGCACACTACGCACCATCTTTCTTTTCTCTCTCTTCCGTGAGCCGCTTCTCTGCAAGTTTCTCGTATTCATCTTTGTCCCACTTTCGGCGGAAGTCCAAGTTCTTAGTCTGAGAAGGAAATAAAAAGTATTAACGTTTATGATACAGTTTGACCAGCTCTGAGGGGAGACTGGGGAAAGGGGTGGAATCGCTCGTCTTGTGAGGCCACAGCAGTAAATTAGGGGCACTGTGAAATATCCCCATGTCCTCTTGTTTTCATATCTAGCAATTAAGGATGTATTTTAAGAGAATAACCCTCAGCATGCCTATGCCTACTCCTTCTAGAGGGATATCAAAGCGCTGAGAGAAGTAACGACTTTATCTTAATAGCTCCTGAGATGATCACCCAGGGTTTCGCTTTGAAAACCAGACACAAACGGGATTTAAACCGACTGATCTAAGACCCCAAAGCGCCACCTGTCAAACACGGCGCAGTCATCAGCAGATTACACACACTTCTTCCCAAAGTCAATTAAACCTGAGTTGCAAATATCAGATGAGGAAGCCGTGAAACACAACACGGGCTATAAAGAGTTTGATTAAAACCCAGGAAGGCTGTGCGTGACGACTCTCAGCGGTGTGTCAAAGGAACCAAAGCCCCGAGTTTGCTGTGAAATCAGAGGAACCAGTGCGGGTTTTTCAAGTGAGCCAGGCATCCAAGCAAACCAGAAACAGCTCTGAAACCCCAGCTTGGCAAGGCAGGGCGTGGAGGTACCAGGGAAGCACCCGCACGAGAGGCACAGTGCAGACAGGCAGGGAAGGGAAGAAACACCTCCGAGGCAGACGGGCCCTTGGGCAGCTCCTTGGGCAGCGACAGGGTAAGTTGTGTGAAGAGAAGCTGAACTCAGGTGAAGCTGGCACTGCAGAGCACAAAGACTATTCTTTTCAGGGCAGATTTTTCCCTCGTCACCAGCGCTGAGGGCAGAAGTAACTGGCCAAGGATCCCTCTTCCACTCAGGTCAGCTCACCAGACCAGTACAGCCTCTTCCCAGTGTCCCCATATGCAGTTAAGGCTCCCACACCTGGTATCGGTCACGGCTTACAGCTCAGAGACTTCTTTCTAACTCTCCTTTGGTAAGAAAACTGCATTTCACTTGGCATGGCAGTGAGAAGCTCTCAGTTTCATATCAAAAAAAAAAAAAGGAGGGATGTATTTTAAAATACCTCTGGGAACGAAGGACTCCTCCCCACCCCCCCGCCTTCTCCGTTCAGCCAAATCAAGAATCCAATCACAATCCAAAGGAAATAAATCCCATTTGAAGCTATAGCAGCAGCACAGTCATTTAACGTTTTCTCCTCTGGCAATCCTTCAAATGGAACGAAACAACTACTGATAGGAATGAAAACGCCTTAGGGAGGCGTAGAAAAATTCTCATTTATTCCCAGAGCTTCTTAAGCACTTTAAGCATGTCATAACAGGTTTTATTAACCACCCTGAGCAAAAGAAAAGAAAATATCACGGAGTGTAAATTAATGTTTGGGGGTATTTTCCAGCATCTAGACTCTCCCGCACAGCAGCGCATTACCACAAATCATAGCTGGTGGGAGCCCAGGGAGGAGGCCATTTACTGGCTGCTTCACTCTCCTGTTGTACTAAAAGGCAAAGAGTCTGTCGCAGCTCTTTTATCAATCTCCCTCGTCCAGGCCCAAGGAAAGAAATTAAACCCAAATGTGTAACAAGATCTTGGCTAGACATTATCCGAAGGAACTTTTCTTAACTGGTTTGGTGGAGGCAAGGGTGGCTGCAAGCCCTAAAACCTTTACCTAAGGACTGCCTTGGATGACAGAAAGCATTTCCCAAATAAGCAACAACAATTAAAAACCAGAAAGTACCCCTCCTGTTCCCTGTGGACACAGACACTGAACGATCTGTCCAATATCGGCATCAAAGCCTATAAAATAATATAGGAGTCTCATATCTGGCTTGATCCAACGTGAATGTAACTGCCAGTGGCTGTGAATAAAAGACAGGCCCCGTCTCACTCCTGGGCAGGCATCCTGCTCCCTGACCTCTCTCAGCACTGCTCACTTCTCAGCAAGTGGCTTCAAGCGAAGGAAAGATGGGCCATGAAGCAGAAAAGCACAGCCCCTGCACCGCTGACGGCTGTCTGGGGTATTACTGAGGTGTTTAACCCCGTATTACTGAGGTGTTTAAACCCGTCTGGCTCTCCAGCCACGCCAACGGCATCCACCTCATTCATCTGATCTCAGCACTCCCAACACCAAATCCTGCAGGATCCATAAATGCAGAGAGACCTCACTGCCACGTTACACAAACCCAGCGATGCCAACAAAATAATCAAGTCGCTCTGAGGCTGCAGGATTACAGTCACGGAAAGGGTGGTTTCACCATGCAGGGCTGACGGCAGAAGCAGCAACTTCTGCAGGACAGCGTGAGAGCCAGCCAGGAAACCAGCAACCCCTTCCCAGGGGGGCTGAGAAGTCACGGGGCAGGACAAGAGGGGGAATGGAAGGAGGAAGCTGCCTCCACCCCTACAGCCCAGCCCCAGAAGGCCCCTGGGATGGGCTGGTCACCCGGTGGGGGGCTGAAGGCGGGTGGGCACCCCCACCCCGGGGGCTCTGGGGCAGGTTCCCAATCTCCTCACGACGCCTGGCTGAAGCAGGGGCTCCCACGGCAGAGGCCTAGCCTAGAAAGGGCAGACCGGGGGGAGGCCCACCCCCCTTCTGGCCCCGAAGGCAGCGGGGCTTCTCAGGCGGCCCCGAATCTCCCACCGCCCATACACAGAGGGCACAGAGCTCTGAAAAACAGGGCTGGGAGCTGCCCGCGGGCCCCGGGCCGCTCAGGCCCCCCCAGCCCCGCCGCGTCCCCACCCCCGAGGAGTCCCTCACGCCGCGGCCTGGAAGTAGGCCCCGACCGAGGCCCAGCCGCAGCGGGGCGGCCGCTCCCACCGCCTGCCCCTCCGGAGCAGCCCCCGCCGCCCCATCCCTGCCCTGGGCCGTGCCCAGGCCCTACCGAGCCAAAGAGACAGCGACGGGCGCGGCCCCGCCGCCGCCAGCACCTACCCCGCTGCCCGACGCCATGTTGAGGGTGCGGGCGACAAGAGAACAGCGACTGTCGCGCGGCGGCGCCCGGGCCGTAAAGCGAGTCAGTCCTCCCGAGCACCACCGAGTGCCCGCCGCCGGGGCCTAGAGCGCCGCCAGGCAGCAGCGCCGGGGCGGTCACGTGGAGCCCCGCCGCTTCCGGGTTCCCCGGGACCGGCCATGCTGCGGCTGGGCCCGCTTGCCGCCGCTGCCGGGCGCCTTTTGCCCCTCGGTCCCCGCCTGGGGCTGCTGCGCCCCGCCGGGGGCCGGGTGAGCCTCTCCCGGGCCTGGCCGGGCGGTGACCGCGGGCTCCTGTCCCGGCAGG